AAAAAAAATAGTTAAACATATATAATTGAAGAAATGAAATGTGACAGAACTTAGAATAAATTCAGGATTACCGAATGGCGAACATGCACTCATTTTGCATCAGGCTGGTGATTTATCCAATTCATGCGCTAATATTGGCCCCGTTATGGCACCTGACAAAAAATTTAATGTATCCGCTATATTTGGAGATATTAAAGCGGATGGTATTAAAAATGCAACAATTGGTTAGTTGCAGTGGTAAAACTCATTTGTATTTTTGGTAGTACAAAAACATACTACTGAAGTAGTTTAATATTTTTCAAGTCCTTATTAAATTCTCATTCAAGATGGTTTAGAGAAAAAGCAAAAAGTATCGATGAGCAGATGGATTATAAAAATTTGTAGTTTAGTTAAAGTTTGTTAAAAAAAAAGGAAGTTAATTTTTGTTTAATTTTCAATTAAATAATATATGATAATAATTGAATGAAAGATACTTGTAAAAAGACCTATTTCACGATTTGGTTGTAAAATACAGAATTCACTTTATTTTCCGACTTAAAAATAAAATCTGGAGTTTTAGCAAAGAACGCTATTGTACACCGATCAAGATTTTTACATATACAAGGAGTGATTGCTAAATTTTAGAAGGTCTAAGGTTTGAAAATGGAGAAAATAATGATGAGGATATAAGCTGATAAGATGAAATAGGCTTCAACCGCTATGGAAGATGGAAGATATTGAGCTTTATAAATCGTAAAAATATATGAAAGATACTGAATTTAATGAATCGTAAAAATGCATTTAACTTTATGTTGTCTGAGAAGCAATTGAGAAGAATGAAGGAAAAATGTGAAATGATGGTTAAATAATTTCTTTTACATGCATTTCATCACTTTGAAATTTTTCATAAGAGTTAATCAATATTTTATAGTCTTCATTCACATTTTAATTATTTGATGAAGAAACAGAGTAAAAAAATTTATGAAATTTAATCTACATTTAGATCGAGAAATTGACTGGCCGCAAGATATCTCACTTATTGGTCATTCGTTGGCGATTCATAAATTATCAGTAATGGAATGGTCATTACGTAGCAAAGATATACTACCACTGGCTTGCGGTACGATTGGTTTTGCATCATCGTGAAAACTTCAATTGATTACTGTTATCCATTTTTTTTTTCGTTATCTTCGTGTTCTTTGTTTCAAATGAGAAAGTGATTAATTTAAGTATAATGCAGAATAAAAAACTCCAAAAAAGTATCAATCTTTTTTTTTTTGTTTTGTTTTTGGAAAAAAAAAAATAAAACAGCAGAAAGGAGAAATGTTTGCTTTAAAAGCAAAATGATTTTTGCATAAATAAAAATTTCAAATTAAAATGTAATTGTATGGAGAAAATATTGTACAACAAAGCTATGGCGGTATATGAAAAAATGATGAAGCCTAGCATCTCTTAATAATTTAATCTGAAATATAAAACCGACGAGTATAAATTCATTTATCTTTTCCGATACGGTTAGTTTGAAACATTTTAGGTTCATTTTTTTTTTTGCTTTAATCAGCGCTGCCATTTAACTATCGCTAAATTTATTCAAGATGACTGCAGCAACTGAATTCATCCTTCCTCTATCAAATATTTGTGAAAAAAAAAGTTTTTTCGACTACGGAATGTTTCGATTGATTGTTTGATTGCATGAAACAAAAATTATCAGTTAGCGAGAAGAAAGATAGGAAAAGCAAAAGGAATGCCTATTTCAATGAACAAATAAATGCTCTTGCTGCAAATTTACTATATCCCTCGTAAAATTTTTTTCTTCTCTTTCACTCACTATTTTATACAACAAAGATCAAAGGTCATTAAGAAGGGATTTGTTTCAGTTTGCGTAATGTCGTTGTTTCGTGTCTCTATCGATATTTCATTCCTGTTAACAGAGCAATTTTTGATAGCTCTCATTCTTCTCGGTTAGATTTCAAACCTCCCAAAAATACAATTTTCTATTTTTTTTTTTTTTTTTTACAAAATTCCTAACGATTATTAATTTTAAAATATACGGGAGATGGAGACAAGAGTTGCTGATACTGTGACATATGATGTCAAATTTCTATTTCTGAAAACTATTAAGATTAATATACCGTTATGGCTGTATTCCATTACATGCTTTATGTATTATCCAATTTTTCAATCACTTATCTATCAAAAGGTTAGCTTCCTCATTCTTCGATTGTTTTACCAAAAAA